TGAGTCTGGCATTTATTAAGGTCTTCAGCGCTATACAATTCTAGACACTCGAGCTTTTTGCCTTTAGCACAGCAGCTTTAGACGAGCCTAATTAGTTATATCCTAAGCACAGCATTGTGATATTGCCTACCGCAAAGCTTTAGCTACTTGTTTGTGTCTAGGTTCAAAAAAAGTTATACTCACCCAAAGCTCTGAGCTGGCTTCTTAGACCGGTCCTTCCAGCATTTCTCCCCCTCCACTGCAGGCTGGATCGAGGGAGAGTACAATCCTGCAGGGAGGATGAGACAGGCTGGATGGAGGGAGAGTACAATGCTGCAGGGAAGGAGAGACAGGCTGGAGGGAGGGAGAGTACAATCCTGCAGGGAGGGAGAGACAGGCTGGATAGAGGGAGAGTACAATCCTGCTGGAGGGAGCACCAGAACAGCTGGCTGGTTAAAAGCCTCGGGTGAGTAGAAACCTGGCCATACACTTTACAACCATCGCACGACTTTCGTCTTGTGATTGTTGTAAGGTAATTAAAAGCTTGTACGATCTGCCCATCTTGGACAGGCAGATCGTACTTGCGACCATCACGACCCTGCCCCCCTGAGGGGCGGGCTTCCAATGACTGCAATGAGGGGAGGGCTTCCGATGACTGCAATGCTGAGCGGGCAGTGTGCGCTTGAGCACACCGACCCGTACGGCATTTGTCTTACGAGCACGCCACAAACCCACCGAAAATCTTGCGATTTTCGGCTGGTTTTCCAACATGCTTGTAAGACAAGACGTGCGACCGTACAGTAGAAACCATCACACGCCTTCCATACCCCTGCCGATTATCGTACAATCGAGGGATTTGCCGCGATTATCGTACGATAATCGGCAGGTGTATGGCCACCTTTACTTTGTTATTTTAGCAGCTAGACACAAACGATCACTTAACCCTTGCAGTGCGGGGGTAGCAGCACTGCAAGGGTTAATAAAAAAATCTTGGTGTTCTCCTTTGAGGATTTTTATTTTTTTAGATGTGTTTTGTTTCTCACTAGTAGACATGTTATCCTACTGTAATTCGCAAATTCTCAAAAAGTCCAGAGGCCATATGGTGCTAAGAGAACCATTTTCATATAAAATGTATCCTCACTTAAACCCAGTCAGACCTTTTTGGCCTTCTGTTTTTCCATACTTTTCTTCCTCACAACATTACTGTTTTCAACATGTAAGCCAAGTTCTTCCGAGGAAAACAAATCCCGGCTCCAGTACTCCTTATGTTACATATTTACTGCAATGTGGAGGAGAATTTCCTCTTACCGTAATCACTTAGTGATGTCCTTGGCCCTAAGGACTAAACTTTTATGCAGAATGCAGATTTAATCCACGCTAGCGAGAAAGCAGTGTGTGATATCCTCAGCAAATTCCAGACTTCAGATGTATGTTATCATCAGTCCATTAAAGTACACTATGAGAGGCGCCACAGATTTGTGGGCTCGGGTTGAAGATGTCTTCAAATCTTAACTGAACAGACTGAAGAGAGAAGCTGATTGGTTGCCATGCACAGTTGCTCCGGATTTTATCTGCTCAATTGTTTGATACATTCCTCCCCATTGTGTTTGATTAACTGAAGGAGTAGAGACTGTTCATTTTGCTTAGTGGAAAGGGTAAATCTCTGTTCATTTTAATCATCCAATTATGTGCAAGCAAAACATTTTTGTTGTATTCCCCTTGCGCTTTTGGCTATGTAAAGAAAAAACATCCTCCACTCCTTTAGGCTGCATTCCCACAGGGCTTGTATATGCGTTCTGGGATTCCTGCGGCAAGAACCTTTGGATTCTTCCACTGTACCCATTTAAGTTAATGACAGGATGACAGCAGCAGCATCTGTTAGAAGTTGTCTGCATATACGTACGCACCTGGTATTGTACTGCGGTCTGGGATAGATGATTGACCCTGGACGCAGGATAGATGCATCCAGGGACAATCGTTTGTCCTGAACCGCATGTAATCATCACACCATGTACAATTACATGTGGACTTCTGCTGTCAGATGCAGCCGCTGTCTCCCCGTCATTAACTTACAGTTACAACAGACTTGTCTCTGCACAGGCACACCTGGGATTCCTGCTGCAAGAATTTGTAGGTTCTTTCCGCCGGAATCGCAGAATGCCTATATAAGCCCAGTGTGAATGCAGCCTTCATAAATCACCTTCAAAGTATCCAAACAGCAAAAGGCTGTTTGCAAAAATGTTGGAGTACCAAAAAGGCACATAAAAGCAGATTAAGATCTGCAGAGAAAATCACGACATTCTGTGCATCTCAAGTAATATACCCAATATGTCTCTATCAGCTTGTTATTTAAAGTGTATATAAAGAGTTATTTAAAGTGTATATAAAGCCTAAACTTTTTTTTTTTTTGGCTGTACCCCATCAGGGAAATTTCCCTTCGCTTCCTGTTGAAGTGGCTCAACAGAAAGTAAGAGGAGAATTCAAAGATGTTGTATTTTCTATTACTTTTTGTACAGGATACAATGGTCGCCAGGTGTCATAGAGAGGGCGACTCACCCCAGAGACCAATTAAGACTATACAAAAGGTATAACTTTTCCACATTATATCCAAAAGTAAAAACAAATCAACGTCCCTACAAATGCTTGCTGAATACCATGGCTTGTCAGTGCTGAAAAGGACATCTAGATCTTTTTCACATGGCCCTTACAATCAGCTCCAGATTTCTAGTTCACTGTGGCATTAGATGAAACATTTCAGGAAGTAAAGGCCTTGATTCTCTTCCTGGCATGTTTCCTAGGCCCTATTTAAGATGCTGTCATCTTGTGATGCAGTCTATATGGAGCTTACAAGATGACTTCTTCTGATACCAGGGGGCAGAGACACACCACAGAAGGGAAACAGAGCAGCAACACTCAGCCCACAGTTGGCAGTGTGGTTTAATCCAGTAGAGCCTTGAGATGTGTCACTGCCTTAAAAATCCTGTTACATGTGCTCCACAAAGCTCCGCTGTTATACAGCAAAAATCTCTACAGGGTGGTCTACACCACAGCATTTAACTCCATGTTCTCAGTAAAGCTGCATTAATGCATTGCCAGCTCCTCCCCAGGAAAAGGAACACTGCTATTACGGCATCACACACCACCCCATCGGCAGTATATTCATCAATTGTCCAACACACCGATCAATCCAGAAGCTAATCACATTCCCAGGAAAGATAGTGTACCATCCACTACCATTAAATGACCAATCCCATGTCCACATACAGCACCGGCATGAAGTGCGGAGGAACCTCATACAGTCCAAACATAGCAGACCATGGAGGAGGAGCAGTGCTTCAACCTTTTAAGTCAGTGTAGCTAAATAAATAATCAGGATAGGTGTCAGTGCAGCATACTGCCCCCAGGATCGGTGTCAGTGCAGCATACTGCCCCCAGGATTGGTGTCAGTGCAGCATATTACCCCTAGGATTGGTGTCAGTGCTGCATATTACCCCTAGGAATGGTGTCAGTGCAGCATATTACCCCTTGGATTGGTGTCAGTGCAGCATATTACCCCTAGGATTGGTGTAATTGCAGCATATTACCCCTTGGATTGGTGTCAGTGCAGCATATTACCCCTAGGATTGGTGTCAGTGAAGCATAGTACCCCTTGGATTGGTGTCAGTGCAGCATATTACCCCTAGGATTGGTGTCAGTGCAGCATATTACCCCTAGGATTGGTGTCAGTGCAGCATATTACCCCTAGGATTGGTGTCAGTTCAGCAAAAGAAACCACAGAATTAGTGTCAGTGCAGCAAACACAAAAAACAAAACAACAGAACCTGTAGTTGCAGTAGATTGTGGTCATGGAAATGTAGAGTGGCCAGGGGTTGGAGAGATATGTGACCCTGCACACCTTGTTTTATTTCTTTTGAGTTATATTTAGCTAAATAGTTAAATTTGTCACAGACCAAATTAATCAAATTTGTTCTAGTTTTTTTATTGCCTTTCTATTGACTCCAAGAGGTTTGGATAGAGGAGTGTATTGTCACGGTGAAGTGCACGCACGAGAGTCATTTTAGTGTTCCTGGCAGAACACCGATCTGCACTGTATTTTTGGGTTGGATTAGACTGGGGAAACTTCTGCATCCAGTTGGCAGCTGTGGAAGAAAACAGCCTGTACATGTTGGTCTTAGGCACTTTTCCATCAACTTTGTACATTTTGCTCTTTTAAACTGTACCCATAAAAAGGACCATTATATATATATTTTTTTATTATTTTCCAAAGGTCTTTTGGCAATCACAGAGCACACATGGGTTATATAGATCCAAACCACGTACATGTTTACTTGTACTGCTATATATATTTTTTTATTATATCCATGCACAATATGTATAAAACAAAAGGCTAAGGATATTTTTATTTATTCATACAATTTAGAAGCCATGTTGGCTTAGTATAGGAAATAAGTGTTATGTATATTTATTATATCTTATATTATATATACAAGATCCCAAGGAAGAGCACAGTCTCCAGCAACTGTCCATCTATTAGTTTAGGGAAGAGAAGAGGATGAGAGAGGGGAGCAGGAAGGAATGAAGTAATGAAGTGTCTTGCCTTGCAGTGTCTGTGTTTGTGGAGACACACGCAGCTTACTAGCATACACTAGCATACACAAGGGTAGCTTCATAGGACCCAGCAAGGGCCACCCTAAAACAGGATATCAAGATCAGTGCATTGAGGAAGTACATCCTATGGGCATCTTCAATAAGTAAGTTTACAAACTTCTGGATCGATATGATAATTACCAGTGGGATAGAACTTATGGAAATTCCATATAGAAATACATATTTATTTTTAGTTTTTGACCATAGATACCCTTTAAGGCGACTGTTACACTCTGTAAATCCTTGTTTATTACGGCTGTACTGTAGGTGGAAATTGCAATGATGAATTGTAACTATGATTGGACGTAATCACACTGGATTTTCATGGATTGAAATCAGAGGACTCATTTGTTTTCCTTTACATTGCAGATTGAAAGCGTACTGCCGAACGGGTACTCACTGGAATGCGGACTTAATAGAATGTTAAACATGGGTGAGTCATAATAATTATTAATTATTGATAATCAGATGTAATCTTTTCGAGTCAATATTTATCTTATTAAACCACTGCAAACTGGTGACAGTAAAGCTGGCCATACTCACAACGAATAACATCCGTTTCTTACTGAATGGGTTGAATGTCTGTGATGGTTCTCATTCATCCAGGCCATGGTATATCTCTAAAAAAGAAATCAAGGCAACTGGACTTGCTGTTTGTTGTTCATCCCTGAAGATGTTTTGCTGGTCATCCGACTAACTTTCTCAATTCAGAATTAAGAAAGCTAATCGGATGACCAGCAAATGTCCTTAGGAAAAACAAAATACAGCAAGTCCAGTTTCTTTCTTGATTTCTTTTTTTACAGATATGAATGGGCCCGAAGTTCGATCTGTAGGTGACCCTGAAGGTACCGTATTTTTCAGTCTATAAGATGCCCCCCATGTATAAGACGCCCCCAACTTTTCTTACCCAAAATTCAGAAATCAATATTTTAAATGATATAATTCATCACACTTACCTCTGAGTCAATCACGTTATGCTCCGACATTACAGCTCTGGCTACACGCTCTCCCCGGCAGTAGCTGACGTCGGGTACAAAAGATTTATGATCGGATTACAGAGACCAGATAACAGTTTTCCTCCAGTCGTGGATCTTTTGTGCCAGTGTATTAAATGTGTGTGGGGGGCTTGGAAGGGGGGCAAAGTGTATTATGTGTGTGGGGGGGAGTGTATTATTTTATTTGAGCAGTGGGGGTGTATTAGTGTGGGGGGATCTGTGTGTATATTAGGCCCCATTCACACCTATATTTCAGGTGCGATTAGGGATTCCTGTGTCACAAACTCGCGTTTTCCTGCAGCAGGGGTCTCATACTAAATTTAGTCGGGGGCCGCTGGACACATTTTTTTAGTCGCGTGGGGGCCGCTACTATATACGGTACCAGTGTTAATGTCTGCATATGTTACAAGCGATCAAATTAATGATCGGGTGACATCCGCTGCATGTACACGCCTGTAATCTTATGTGATATGATTACATGCAGTTACAAAAACAATCACTATCCCTGGATAAACAATTGTGTAACCACTGATAGTGACAGATTCCTAACTGCATGTAATCCTTTCACATATGATTACATGCGTTTACATGTAGCAGCTGTCACCCGATCATTAATTTGAATGGGTGGCAGTTGCCGCTTGTAACATATGCAGACATTAACACTGGTACCGTATATAGTAGCGGCCCCCACGCGACTAAAAAAATGTGTCCAGCGGCCCCCGACTAAATTTAGTATGAGACCCCTGCTCTAGATCAATAATAACCTGTCTAATACTTTATCAAAGTTCTCCATTAATAAAGAGTAATATATTGTATGTAGTTCAAACCATTGAAAATAAATCTTGGTGTCGGTGTGCACTATATTTGTCCATCTCTTGGCTGATGATGTGTATTTTTAGATAACGGTTTACATTTTAATTTCCTTTCGGCATCTTGTCTGGGTTATGTAAGGCTTTTTGTTTAGTTGGCACTGCAGCTGGGGGGTATATATAGCATGTACTCCAAGAAACGAGCTGAATTCCTTTGTGCCGCTGTGTTATAAGGGAAGACTCCTCTTCTAGATGCTTGCTTCTTGGGCTGGTTAAGGAGGATTTATACCCAACCTGTATATTTATCCAATCTGAACATGGAAAGCAAAGATGCTATGCCCTGCAGTGCAAATGATTTCATGCTATCACTCATTATAACTGCTCCCCTCCACTATCTCCACAGTTAGAGACAGTTTGAAAAACATTACAAATGGGAAAGAATATACTAATACACAGCAAGGTCATAAATCACAGTTTAGCTAGTTGGTTAAGAACACAATCCAGAGAAAACACTGCCAAGTATTAAGACAGCAAGATAACAATGTCCAAAAATTGCCGCACACAGCTGGTTCACCATACATGTAGTTTATTTGAATCCAACAGCCCGCATGGTATAGTTCCCTACTCTTATGGGCTTAGTCATAGAGATAACAAGTTGCACTATCCATTAGAAAGCTTAAAGCAGACATTGCACAAAAAATTCAAGGTACGCTTTTTACATTGTTACCCACCCCCATGTAAAACAGCACATTATACTTGTAAAAAAAAACACCTGCAGAGAACAGTTAGAAAATATTCTTACCTTACGCCTGGCTTCCACCCGCAGCACCTAGGGGAGTTTGGCCTCACAATTCTAGGTACTCAGAGGTTGCTAGAGGACATTCTCATGAGATTTGGGTCCTTAGCGTTCCCAGGACCTCGCAGGAAGGGTCATGGCACCAACAGCACACAGAAGTTAGTAGTAAGGTAAATATATTTTCAAACTTCTCTGCAGTTTTTTCTTCTTTTTAACAGGTATATTATGAAATTTTTTTCATAGACGGTGGGTCACTGCGTAGTAAGGTGTCCTTGAATTTTAGTGCAAGGTCCACTTTAAAGAAGAACTCCAGGCACACGTTTTATGAACCCTTCTAGTGGGGTTACTCCCGCACTGCAAGTGTTGACTGCTCGTTTTCATCCTGGTTAAAAAAAAAAGTTGCACTCACCTGATCTTTAGAGCTGGCCAGCTCTTTGACCGATCCCTGGAGCCTCTCTCCCCCCCGCTGCAATGGTCTAAGGTCCTGGAGTCATCAAGTCCTATCCACAGTGTATAGAATGTGAAAACGGCAAGGGACATACCATCACTGCAGCGTATGAAGAGACAGGCAGGAGGGAGTGCTGTCACAGCCAGCTGGCTCCAACGATTGGGTGAGTTCTGCTTTAAAGAGAATCTGTCAAGCAAAGTGACAGGTTCCCTTGAAAAAAAAAAAACTCTTGCATTGATCCACACTTTCCCATACTCTAACAAAAAAGTAAATACACGGTGGAAGTTGATTAACCAGGAGAATCACCCACCCGCTGATGAGCTTTGCAGTGCAATTAGCTGTATATAGTGCTATATTAAATGAATACTATTTCTTCATATTATCTTTTATTTCTGTAAACAGGTTTGGTGCTGGGATTGTGCTTTGCTCAGGAGCTCCGAAAGCCCTTTTTGGTGGTTTGTTCACATACACTCGCAATCTGAGCTCTGAATAAGGTTGTTTGTACATTTTTATTGGAAGCAGCATTCTGATGGTATTTGTGTCCGATGAATGTAGGTGCACATTCTTTTCAGTTTCTTGATGTCACTGGAAAGTGGATGTTTACACACGGGGTAATGTTACACACCTATAGCTCACTTGTCTCGGCGCCATGCCTAGATTGCAGCAATGCCATGATAAAGTACGTCACTGTCCAATGTAAAAGCTAATTCCTTCACCGCCCCTTCTCTGTGTATATAAAATTCAAGGTGATACACATCACAATAGATATTTTTACTGAGTAAAATAAATAGACTGTCACTGCTGATCATTCCTTCTGAATATGCCAGCTGTTTGGCTGGCAGGCGTTCATCTGTACAGCAAAAGAAGTGACTACATAGCTTACAGTTAAAGTGGCACTCCAGCCAAAACGTTTTTTATATATATATTTTTGCCAGGTTTTTATAGCTGTCCCTGTTTTGTAGGTCCACTTTCTGTACTGGTGACAGTACAGGGGCATAAAGATAAGAGTGGAAATCTTCCAATGGGGATACAGAGGTGGGGTTTCCACTCACTTTGAAAAGATTTCCCCAGAAGGCGTTTATAGAAAAACCTTCCCTAAACTACCCAAAACTGAACATTTTTTAAAATGTATTTAGCAAACTCCTATTTTAAAATATCAGGTGACGGACATATTTATCTTAATAAAACCAGGAAAAGACATGCGTGTAACAGGGATAACCATCTGCCAGGAAAATTCTTCCTCAGGGGCCCCTTGGCTCACCTGCATACTGCCGTATGTGCAAGTTCAGGCTGGTGTATAGCAGCAAGCAGCCAGTCATTGAGTTATACAGGTGGCTGCACTCACCAGCTGTCACGTCCGGGTGCAGGTTTCTGTATGGCTCTGCATATCCATGTGAATGAGGCCTTGGGCTTTTCCTCTAGTGCCACCCAGAACCATGCAAACTGGCTATTTAAATTAGGATTATGCACAAGTAGGAAGGAAAGCGTACATCCAGAATCTATTAAGACAGCTGTGCATATAGCAACAAGGAAACCCAAGGCTTCTAGATTACTCATGCTCATGACATTGTATTGTCGGATAGAGGCAGCTGAGCCAGCGTGGACCTGATCTCTAATGCCAGGAGGTGGAGTTAAGCTAGCAGTACATGGATCGACAAGCATGCTATGCTTGGGTGACCCTGCTGTTACCATCTGGCTTGACAAAGTTGATTTTCCAATGAACTTTGTCCATTGGAAAATTGTTGGTCAAACTGTGACTGCAACCATTTAGCAACAGTCACTGTTCAAGTTTTCTGACAGCCATGGATATGCCTTGCTGTTAGAATACAATAGCTGGCAGGGGAGCTTCCTCTATCCATGCTCTTTAGCGTGGATTGGGGAATCCAGTCATTTAACATTTTAGGGTGTATGGGCAGCTTTAGGCTAGGGGTACAGGAGCGATTTTTAGTAACTCAATCACGCTACTAAAATCTTATGAGACTGATTACTCTCGGGGCTATGCTTAAATATGAAAAATAACCCAAAAGATTGCTGAAATATTAATATTCTGCGCCAAATCAAAGCTTTGGAGTAGAAGAGAGGAATACAGTCGCCAGTGCAATCAGATTTTCATTTATTGTGACCACCTCCTCTGTGTGCTGTAGAAAGAGATTCCACAGTGCACTGACTACACTATACCAGGAATTAAAGCTGAGCACTTCCAGGTTCATTTTCCCCCCTCACCATCCAAAAAGTGACATACCTGTAATAATAGAGGGACTATACTTTAGCTTTCCGGTGGCCCATTTATTGGAAAGCCACCTTCCTGCTGCTCGCCGGCTGCTGCAGGTATTTAAATGGCTCGTGGCCCAATGATTCCTTCTGCCAGCTGATAAATCCTATAGT